TCCGATGTTGCAGATGAAAAAATGGAGTACAACAATCAGAATCGAAAGAGGCCATACAGTGGTGTCCTGGGGCGTCTATGTTGGAAGTGTGCCAAACCCAGCATATTACAGTCTTTAAAGGCACTCTCCAAGCTACTGAATCTATTTTGAGACAGGGTTCAGCACCTTAGACAGAGCCTTTAAAGGCTGGGATAAAACCCAGACCTGATTCACCGCTTGCCTGACACAAATTTACCAGCCGCCACTGAGACCAATTATACCCATGTATGACTAAATTAATAGCATGAAGAAAGGAAGCAAGGCACACGGATCGCCGTTACATTGAAATAGAGACCCTTTGGGTCATGTTCTGGAGCACCGGGGTAAGAAAGGCAGAAAATCCATATCTGTTCCTGGCGGCAATGTACAGAAAGCATTGATCGATTCGGGTCCGGCTTAACCAGAGGAAGAGGAAATCAGACCGAGGGAATTAACATGCAACAGTTGCAGTCCAGCAACCAGTCCCTGTGCAGAATCGCAATGATGTGCAATTGATGGGTCACCATTGTGCAACTAAGGGACAACTGAAATACACAATGTCCTGGTGCAATTCACAAACCCAATTTGCAATTTTGCAGTGCAATAGGGCAACCACAATGTGCAATGCAGCTCTGCCCCTGTCAGTCGGACATGTTTGTTATGGCAAATAATGTGCTCCATATGCATGCACGTGTCACTAAAAGAACACCAGGCAATAAATGAAACCATCCTTTTTTTTCCTCCAGTGACAACACTTTATTGCTTTTTTCATTTGTCTGCACAAACCCACACGCACAGAGCTCTATCGAAGAAGGAAACGCAAAAGAGAGAGACTTCAAGGTTCCTTCATTCTGGTCTCCTATGGGTAGCCATCTTGACAGTTATTGGCATGGGGGCATCAATCTCGAGTGCCACTTGCAGAAAGATGAAAGTTTCTTCCTGATGCATGTGGAAGAGGAGAGTCTCCTGGCATCGCTGAGACGAATGACCCAAGGCCCTAAAAACCTCACATATAGGGGGTTTACAGCCCAATAGACAGGGTTGCCAATGTTTCAGAGAACTGACTGCAGTGCTATGCGCTCAAAATCCGCCTCTGTAAATCCCTATTGATCAACCCTGCCATCGGGGAATTATAGTCTGCAAAAAATTATACAATTCTTTTGCACAGAAGATAGCATCCTTTTTTTGCGCAAAATACAATATTTGGGGTTATTTTGAAGTCCACACAGGGGCATTTTTTTGACCCCATTGGAGGCATTCTGGTGGCTGTCCGAAGGCCACCAAAAAGCCCCTTTCAGTTTCCATATCTCCACATCCCACAATGATGATAGCCAAATCCCATTTGCTTCTTGGCATCAGGTTCCTCATGGTACACTGTCACTGAATGGGGAGGTTCTACTCAACTGCAATGGATATTAGCCATTGGGAAGCTTAGGTGCCAGAGCCTACTGTGAGGTCTTCTAAAACAGATTGTCATTCACTTTGATGCACTGGGATGTGTAAAAAGCAACTGAGAAATGGGTTTTCTGACCCCAATTTGCAATTGTATCACAGAGTTTGGACCAAACACGGACTTCGATCCCAATTTCCAACTCAAGAATCAAGATGCCTTGTGCTTTCTGGGACCTTCCATGGGACCCTTGTTCATCTCACCTGGTGGGAAACCAATCTTTGGGCCTCTGCTTCATTTTCAGCACTTCAATATTCCTAGGGATGGCACGGAAGGGGTGCCCCTTGGACATGACAAGGCAATTTGGCACGGGCAAAGACAGCGTGAAGGAGTGAGGAGATTGCAGAGCCGATTAATCGAGATTAAGTTCTACTTGGAGCTTGGGGTCTGCTAGTGGCCATCGCTAATATGGATTAGAAGCCACACACCAGCCATTAGGCACGCAACGGAAAAGCATTCTGTGTGTGAGAGAGAATCCAAGGGCTGTTTTGTCTCTGGCCCTTCTCAAAGGCCTTTCACAAGTAGAAGGGGAACAAACGGGAACATTCCTGGAGAAGAGACCATCCAGGAATCCATGCCTCTCCTCCAAAGAAAGAAAGAAGGGCTGGAAAGAGAAAAAGGCCGCACTCTTGAGTCTGAAAATTTCCTCCCCAGGTGAAACAATGCCTTGCAGCCCTCCATTCTCTCCTACTATTCCCAACCCAGTCATCTTGCCCAACTCTCTGTACAGTTTATCTCCTTGAAGTCCTTTGGATCAGGGCTTCTTATACTTTTCCCACTCACGACCCCTTCCCTCTCCTCCTCCCCAAGAAATTTTCACACAACCTCACGTATGCAGGGATATAAAAGAGGTATCCAAATCAAACATGAGTAATAACAAATCAGCACTGGCAAGGCTTGCTAAACAGACAGCCCCCCCCCCCTTTTTTTTGATGAGGCATCTTCTGAAGAGTCCACTGTAAACACGCATCAGCCCATTGGTGCCAATTTTTGATTTTTGATATGTATCATGTGTGATTTGTTTCCTGTGATGTATGATGTTTTTGCTGAATTTTTATACTATGTTATTTTGCTATTTTAGCCATGGACGCTGCTTTGAGTCCCACCCATGGGAGAAAAGCGGGAGAAAAATAAAGAATACTAATACTAATACTAATAATGGTAGGCGTTCGGCAACCTTTCTCTGTTGTCGTATCTTCTGCGACCCCCACATTGAGCCAATGGGACCCTCACTCAGGGTCAGTTGGGGCCCACAGTTGAAGAAGCAGTGGGTTAGAGTGACCCATTTGCAACCCATTAGCCTTCTCGATCCCTTCTAGGGCTTTCAAAGCAACAAGCTTTTAAACACACTTGGTCCCTAGCTCTGAAAGCAGATAGTAGCACGATGGGAATATATTGCAATCATTCCTAGACGGAGTTGACAATCCGGCTGTTGTCTTTTGAACTGAAGTCCCACCCATAGCTACACCATTCCCCTCTTTGGGTTTGCCTCCCACCCTATGGAGAGTGTGAGTTTAAACTTGTTGCTCAAGAGCTGGGTAGGAATTCACCCCCCCCCCCCGCAAGTTTACACTGTTTCAGATGGGTGTGGGAATTGACTTTGGGATGGCATCATTTAAATAGGTTTTCTTGAATCACTGATAAGATTCCAAGGTTAAATAGTTATTGTAGGCACCATGGCACCCCCGTGAATGGGGTGAAGGGTGGACTCCCACAAATGTCTTTATAAGTTTCTTAAAATGGGAGCTACCCTTGGGGCTGGACTGAGGGTTCTCACCATAGGATCATAGAATCATAGAGTTGGAAGAGACCTCATGGGCCATCCAGTCCAACCCCTTGTCAAGAAGCAGAAAAATTGCATTCAAAGCACCCCCGACAGATGGCCATCCAGCTTCTGTTTAAAAGCTTCCAAAGAAGGAGACTCCACCACGCTCCGGGGCAGAGAGTTCCACTGCTGAATGGCTTAAAGAACTCTGTGGTTTGGGAGAGAGAACCCTCAAGATCACCTTCCAAATAGGATCAGGCGAGAGGTGCAGCCAAAGAATTTGGGTTGGCTTTCAGGTTCCTTGGTGCGTGCAAGCCCTTGGAGGTGGTCAGAGGGAGTGACACCTGGCCCAGGGACAAGGCTTACTAGGTTGCCATTCATCCATGAGTTACATTGGATGCCTTTACAGATTTTCGTATTACAGGTTATTACCAGGTTTTTCAATAAATAGGTCAGAAATGGCCCTTTGGATCTATTTTCTTGTGTCTGGTCTCTTTCTTTCATGGTGGGAGTTCAAACAGACATTTTCCAAACTTGGTATAGAGGCTGGTCTATGTACCACCATTGCAGTCATCTGGTCTAGGGCGTGCGTTAGACTTTGTTCTTTATCCGTTCAGTCACTTCCGACTCTTTGTGACCTCCTGGACCAGCCCAGACCAGAGCTCCCTGTCTGCCGTGGCCACCCCCAGCTCCTTCAAGGTCAAGCCAGTCATTTCAAGGATACCACCCACCCACCTTGCCCTTGGTTGGTTCCTCTTCTTTTTCCCTTCCATTTCCCTCAGCATCATTGTGCTCTCCAAGCTTTCCTGCCTTCTCATTACTTCATCTTTGCCTCTAATATTCTTCCTTCCAGTGAGCAGTCAGGCTTTATTTCTTGGAGTATGAGGCATGGGCAAACTTCAGCCCTCTGGGTATTTTGGACTTCAGCTCCCACAACTGACGAAAATCAAAGGGCCGGAGGCTGTTAGGAATTGTGGGAGATGAAGTCCAAAACACCTGGAGGGAGGGCTGAAGTTTGCCCATGCCTGCTTTAGAGGGCACCTTTTCACTCCAGTGGCACAGTGGGTTAAACCGCTGAGCCGCTGAACTTGTTAACTGAAAGGTCGCAGGTTTGAATCCGGAGAGTGGCGTGAGCTCCTGCTGTTAGCCCCAGTTTCTGCCAATCTAGCAGTTCAAAAACATGCAAATGTGAGTAGATCAATAGGTACTGCTCCGGCGGGAAGATAATGGCACTCCATGCAGTCATGCTGGCTACATGACCTTGGAGGTGTCTACGGACAACACCGGCTCTTTGGCTTGGAAATGGAGATGAGCACCAACCTCCAGAGTCAGGGGAAACCTTTACCTTTACCTTTTCGCCAACCAGCTGTGCCTTCGGGGTGGGGGCATTCCCTTTGGCAAAGAGAGACCCCTGCTCCTCTTCTTTGAGGCTTGGGATCCCCTTTCACAACCCTTCTGCACCCGACTTTGTTAAACTGGAGAAGCTTTGGAGAAGTTGGGCCCCCAAGTGGTCCTTGAGGGCTGCCTTGCTCCTCCCCCCCGAGGGACCCCCAGGCTGGGGCAGAGGGGCTCCTGGGCCACAGAGCCCTCTCCAAAGAAGGTCCCCCGCTCCCTCTCCAAAGGCGCACAGCGAGAGGGCTGGGTGCGCTCTGCTGGCGAAGGCGCACAGGCGACCACTCCTCCCTCCCTCCTTCCCTCCCCTCCTTCGCTCTTCTTCCTCGCCTCCTCTCTCTCTCTCTTTCTCTCTCTCTCTCTCTCTCACCCATCCTCCCTCCCTCCTTCCCTCCCTCCTTCTCTCTCTCTCCTCCAGCCGGTAAATCCGATCTAGGCCGATTCCTCTCACGTCAAACCACATGATCCCATAAAACATTCATCAACCTTTCCAGCTCCCAGCCGCCGAAAGCCGCTCGGTCCGCCGGAGCCTCTCCTCTTGGCGATTTGGGATTTGCCTTCCCCTCTTCCTCCCTCTCTCTCGCTCTCCTTCCCCTTAGCCTTACAACTCTGAGGATCGGGGCCTCTTTGGCCGGAAAGGAAGCAAGGATTCGGCAAAGGAAGGAAAGAAGGAAGGAAAGAAGGGAGGAGAAAGAGCTCTCGCCTCCGGAGCGGAGCCGAGGCGGCGGCCAGGATCGGGGCCTGCCGAGAGCTGCAAAGGAAGGGGGAAAACGGGTCCGCCGTGGGGTGCCCCTCGCCTGGATGCGGGCTGGTCGCCCCATGAGCCAGGCGGGAAGTTTTGTGCATGAAGCGGCTGCCTCTTCCTCTTCTTCCTCCTCCTCCTCTTCCTCCTCCTCCTTCTCCTCCTCCTCCTCCTCCTCCGCCGGCGCCCTTTTGGGAACGGATTGCCCGCCGCCGCCGCCTCGCCGCCTCCCTGTTGCCCCCCAAGAGGTGCCTTCCCCGAGCCCCTAAAATGAAGAGGGTGATCCTGGAAGAAGGTAAGGATTCGTGAAGGGAGGGAGGGAGGGAGAGGGAGAAGGCGAGGCGGACCCCAAGGAGAGAGGAGAAGTTCGGGGCCCGGCTCCTCCTGTCCGGAGGGAGAGAGACCCACGTCCGCCCCGTTGGGCAGTGCGGAGCCCCTCTTCTCATCCAAGAGGTGGCTGTGGCACCCTTTGGGTTGGGCAGCTTGGCAGAGGTGGCTCTTCTCCTTGGAAAAGGGGAGCGAGAGGAAAGGGAGAAGTTCCGGGAGGGCTTGGCTGCCTCGGTGCCTCACCCGGGCCCAGCCCTACCCCACTGAACTCTCAGGAGCCCTCCTGCCTTCGGAGAGGCCGATTGTGGCCACCCTTGATGCCGGGGAGGTTGGGAGAGCGTTGCCCTCTCCTCTTCCAAGGAGAGAAAAGAGAGGAGAGACGACCCCTCCCCATACACACCACCACCAGCTCTTTCCCCCAAAGACCCCCCTCTGGATAGCGCAGGATCCCGCCCTGCTGGCTCGGGAAGGGAGGTTGCAGCTGCCCCTTGGAGAAGCTGTGGAACAGACGGAGACTTGAACCTGGCTTTCTTTGCCTTGCCACCTTGTGTTGTTGGGGTTTTTTGTTTTTTGTTTTTTTTTGACGCAGGTGGGGATGGTGGACGAGGGGCTTCATGTCGGAGAGCAGAGCCCCGGGGTAGAGGTTTCCTGAGAGGAGAGAGGTTCTCTCTCTTTCTCCAGGTGTGATTTTTTGTGTGTGTGCAAAGGAATGCCTTTGCCGCACTGTCTTTTGGGAGACTTTGCTAGCTTTCCTTCCCTTTCGATGCCTAGGTTTGGCTGAGGCGAGGGAAGAGGGGGCCAAGGCGGGCCCCTCTTTCGTTCTCTAGCTGGGATGGGCATTGCACGTGGAGGGAAGTGGACCCCCTTTTCACTGGGGCCCCTCAAGAGCGCCCCCTGGAGCCTGCAGGCTGTGCTGCTCACCTGGACAGCAGTGAGCTAGGGGGTGCCTTCCCATTTTCGATGCACCCCTCTTTTGGAAGCACATATTTCCCTTTCCCCACTCCATTTCCTTCCACTGAGGGTCCCCTATGATCGGGGGGAGGGGAGGGGGAAAGCGGGGCTCAGCCTTGGCCCCATCTCTTCTTTTGGTTCTCCAGGTGAGAGGGAAAGGGGAGCAACGGGACCAGGGCTGTCCTGCTCCTAGCCCCCTTTCCCCTTCTCAAATTTGGCTCTCAATGTTGGCAGGTGATTGGACCTTCCTTTCTTTTGAGGTGTCCTTTCCATGGCTAAAAGGGAGGAAGAAAGTGAGGTGCAGTCTTCCCCCCAACCTTTTTATTCTGTTATCCAGATGGGAGGGAAGCTTAGCAAGGAGGTCAGGTTTGTCCTGACCACTAGCCCCCTTTCCCAAATCCTCTCAGCTCTCAACCCTTGGAGTTGAGCCATGATATCACTTCCTAAGGAAACCGAGACAACCATCAAGAGTTGATGGCACTAAGATGTCAGACAGGAGAGCTCAGGAAGGGAGTGCATGGTGCAGTTGGGTATTTGTGTCTGGAAAGAACCAGGGCACATGCATTCAGTCTTTTAGCAATATCACCCCTATCCAAACCCCAAATGGTGCCCCACAGACTTGGCCAAAAGTTTCCTGGGGTGTGGAAGCCGACTCTGCAAAGGTCTTGTTTGACAGTTGGCTACCCGACCAATTGGGTTCCAGGGAGCCATGGCAAAGAAAAGGGGAGCAAAGGAAATGCTTCACAGCTAGGATGTTTGATGCCCCCTCTGCCCGCCAGAGGAACTCTGCTGCTGATGGTGATTTGTTGGGTAGCGGCGATAAGGTTGGACCCGCCGCCTGCTTCTTCTGGGGAGTATGGAGTCCATGGTACTCTTTGGAGGCTCCAGGTATGAAGGCTCTCGGGTGGGATTCAAAAGGGAAGGCAGGGGAGAGAAGAGATTGACCCCAACCATGCCAACCTGCTTTCAGTGGGAGTTGCAAGGAGAAGGAACTAAGCTGGAGTTGGATGGGACAGCATGAGAAGGGACTCTGGAAGGCTCCTTGAAGTTGTAGGGCTGGTCCAAAGCATGGTTATTTCTCCCAGCGTCTCAGGGAGACTTGAGATCTGTTCAAGGCACCAAACTGAGTTGAAGCTAGGGGCGAGTGGGGATTGCCTGCCAAGGGAGCAGACTGTTGTGTAAGTTTGTCTTCACTTTCATTTTGATGAGTTAGAAGGTAGTTGGCTTTGCGATGCGAACTTGGTGGGGTTGTGTTGTTCTCCAGGTGCATTGGTTGGAGACAGAATTGTGCTTTGGTCGGGGAGTGGAGCCAGGTAGTGCCAAGGACGTGAGTGGAGCTGGCCAGCTCCAGTGGTGGGTTTCGGGTATTGCTTCAAGTGATAGAGTGAGATGCTCGACGGCTCCACAATCTGCTCAGCTCTAGTTCTGAGATCGGAAGGATAGGATAGTCTTCCTGGATGTCGGCTTCACTTTTAAGGATGCAATCTCTGATGCCAAACCTATTTTATGAGCCCTTTCAAGAGTGCCTGGGATGGACTGGCTGTTCCCTTGGCATTGTGGTCACCAATCTGCATAGGACCTGGGTGTAGGGTTTTCAATGAGAGATCATCAAATGGCATCCCGGATTGGGTCTGCAGAGGACCATAGGATCTACTTTAGACATTTCCACCTGAATCTCCTTGGATGGTAATGATTGAGATGGTCTTTGTGCCGTTTCCCGGTTTATGAAATCAGCACAGAAGAGAGATGGCAGATCTAGACTAATCTAAGGAAGGGGTTCACATTCACTAGCCAGAAACCTTTATGGGTTATTCCTTTCAAGTTGGAGTATGGACCCTATTTGTGGATTGGGAAGGCAGGAGACACATTCTGGCTTTAAGGCAGAAACCATAGACTCTCCAACTTCATTGTTCCTACTGGTGGCAGCAGTTTGCATAGACCTCAGTTTGCATAGACCTCAGTTTGCATCAAGCAATGGACACTATACATTGCCCTTGGACCACAGACCTGTGGAAAGGTGTACTTTGGATGTCTCACATAGATAAGCAGCTTTCTTGTGTGTGCATTTGTGTGGTAGGATGGGGGGCGGTTTAGTGTTTTTGTAGGGTTTTTTTTGTCATCCTGGATTCCTTAACCCAAACATGAGAGAGAGATAAGAGCAGCGATCATCAAAGCTGCTGATAACCGATGTACCGATTATTGCAGGTGTTGCTTGCTCTTCCACGGCAATCGAACGCCTGGCTCCGCCTTAGAGATGGGAAACAACGATTAAAGCAGCACTAGCAGTTCAAAAAAAGTGTGTGTGTGTGGGGAGGGGGGGGGAGAGGAATATTTGCAAACCCCAAAGAGTCGAGGATAATCAAACCATCAAACGAGTTTTCAGACTGCGAGGAGAAGTCACGAGGGAGGCAGGCAGATCATTATCGCGCGGAGGTGGAGGGCAAGGGAGTCCCCCAGCCCTCAATGAAGAGTTTGCTCACGCAATTGGGATTCATTCTGCCGTCTGCATTTTGGATTTTATCTTCCTCTCTTGGTTAGGTTTGCAAAGATGGAAAGGGGATCTGATCACTGTTTTGGGTGGGTTTGAGAAGATAACCAAAACCAGGCAGGATAAATAACTCAGTTGCGCAGAGAGCAGAACTGGGAATGTGCCTCTGAGGGCGGAATGCCTCAATAGAATGAAATCAAGTAGGTGATAGACCACACTCTCAAGTTTCTAGCCCACATGGGAGTAAAGGCACACCTCCTGATCCATGGTGAAAGCTCATTGAGTTGTGGAAACGACATAACTTGCACAAAAGAGCACTGCAGAAAAGAGTATAAGGCCAAAAACCGAGGAAATAAACCAGGCATATGTGCTTACATGCGCTCCCTTGAAAGGGCCACAGAAGTGAGCTGGCGTTGGTGCAGAATTAATACACACAGAGTCCACCCCACCCCCCTGATGCATTTATCTCATGCAGAATTCATCAGGTGTCGCTGCCATTCAGTGCAACCAAGTATTTGAAGAAAATGCTCTCTCTCCCTTTCTCTCTCTTTCGCTGCTCCCACTGCAATGAGAACGTAGTCCCCCTTAAACATTTCAGCCGGCCCTCGGCTGCAGTTTCAATGGACAAGACACGCACAGAGTCAATGGGGAAAAGAAAGGGAATCGACCACAATTCTGTTGTCAGTGGCAGCGAGGCTGAGACCTATCTAATCAATGGGAATGCAACATTGTTGCAATGCCCCTTGATTTGGTAGGTTTGTTCTAACCGAAACCAACAAATAAGGGCTGCAAATATGGTACTGTGCAACTGTTATGTACCTCCATAAAGTTATGTTGCCTCTTCTTGCTGTAGGCTGTTGGCCAATGCTTCAAAATCCTTTTTTTCAAAAATTGAAAAGCATTTTGAAAGAGAGTCTTAAAAGCCGTGGCCGAAATCCAATGGATGCTCCCAACTTGAGTCATTGCATCGATTGCTGAATGGCATGTTGATGCTTTGATAAATCCCATTGAGTCCAGGGGTCTACTCATGTTGGGAGCGCCATTGGATCTGGGCCAGTGGTAACTGGGGACTCCTGTATTAGTGGGATAGTCAATCCAGTCAAGGTCTTAGCTTGACTATTAAGGAAGTGCTGAATTGAGCTGACTTCAAGTGTTCAGCACCACAGAGAGCGCCTTCAAATTGGACCTACTCCCCATTGCAATCTCTGCTCCATTAATGTGGGTGAGGATGGTTTCCATCCCATCTCATTGATTTTCTCCTTCTTGAAGAACTCCAATTCCCAGGATCCTTTGCAAAGTAAATAAGTTCTAAGCCCACGATGCCCTACAGTAGATCTCTCCACTGAGATTTCCAGGGTGTTTTTGTTTTTTCCTGGAGTCGAATCCTCCTAGTTTTCTGCAAAATGCGCTTTGGAATCCAATGGGGTGGAACTTTGCTGTCAACCCATGCCTGTCATTTCATGCATACCTCCCATAAACCATTGACATTGCGTGCTCTGCAATCAACCAGCCCCAGTAGCTGTAGTGGA